TAACGAGTAGGCTGGCTTGGTCACTCAACAGCGAGATACTGGTGAAGCGGGCACAGCAGCACCTGCATTTTCTCCATCGCATGAGAAAGGCACATCTTCCTTCCCCTGTCCTGACCACTTTCTACAGGGAGACGATCGAGAGCATCCTGTCATATAGCATCACAGTCTGGTTTGGAAGCATCACTGCTTCAGAAAGGAAGGCGGTGCAGAGAGTGGTGAGGATGGCTGAAAAGATCATTGGCAGTTCCCTCCCTTCCTCCCATCCATGACATAGCACAAAAGCACTGCTTGAGCAGGGTCCGCAAGATTGTCTGGGACACTACACATCCTCTTCACAACCTGTTTTCCTTGTTACCTTCTGGGAGGAGGCTTCGTGGTATCCATAGCAGAACATCCAGATTCAGCCACAGTTTCATTCCATACAGCATTAACCTCGTGAACTCTCAAGCTTCCTCCTTTTGTTATATATTCAAGATGGACAGTATTTAATATTTATTTGTTATATATATGTAGGGGTGTGGGTCTATACATACGTTGTATATAGTATGTTTAGGTGTGTGTCATGTATGTGTTTCACTTTGAGAGCGGGCAACTAAATTTCATTTTTCGATGTATGCTATTGTGCCCACAGTAAAAAAATGACAAAAGGTTATCTTATAATTCATTGCAGACATCCATATCTGACCGATAACAATAACTTTATTGTCACTTTGAATGTACACCAATCAGCATACATCAAAATGACATTTCGTTGCATACAGCTTTCAAAGGGCCACCACCTCCCATATATGCTCCTTGTTCATGGCCAGCTCAAGTTTCAGAACGTCCATTTTAGTCTCTAGGGAGCAAACGATGGCAAACAGGACAGATGGAAACGGAGTTCCATGAAGATTAGCCCTAAAATTAGCTTGTATTCCTGCACCACAATCTTGCCTCCTTTCCTTTTTCTGATCCTATCTCTTCCACCTTTTCCTTAAAGGAGCCTCGCTTCTTTTCACCCTTGGAGCACACTGCCACTGCCTCCAACTCCTCCAAAAGCATCTCTCTCTCTTCCTCTGGGCCCACCAACAGTCTCATCCAGTTCCTTCCCTCCATAAGCCCCGTGACCTCTCCTCCTCTGCCTCCTTTGGAAACAGCCCTGGTTTACAATCGAATCCATGAATCCATCGCTGTGCCAGCAGTCAGATCTTGCTGCCGGCAGAACAATTTCAAACAGCGCAAAGGTCTCACCAACAGTTCCAAAACAGCTAAAATCTCACCATACCAGCAAAGATTGTTGATCGTATGTTACCTTAGACTCTAAGGTAACATACGATCAACAATGTGCTTGAGCAACATGATGAGACTCTAAGGCTTAGAGTCTCATCATGTTGCTCAAGCACATTAAAACCTTCCCGATCATGTGGCCTATGTCCCTTATATCCTTCCAAAAACCTTTCATCTTCAAAGCCAATGCAGTCACAGCCGATCCAGGCGCCGCCATCTTAGAACAGTAATCAACGTTTTACAATCATATCTTTGTCTTTGTGGTGCTGAATCATAAGTCTTTTGATTCCTCTTTGTCCAAAAGTAAAAAATTAAGCATTAATTTCACTGTATCTCCAATGACAAATGATATTAAGGTCATTTTAAAACATCATTTGTCTAACTGTCTAAAAAAATTAAAAAGCAAAAGGGAATTTTAAAATGAATAAAAAGAGCATTCTAGAAGCATCTTTTCCTTTCTCCAGCCCCCCCCTCCTTTCCCCAGCTATTGTTACTTGCGTATTTTAATCCTATTTTGGACATTATTAACTCATATCTGTTTGGATCATATTGTTATTATAACTGGTAAAACAAATTCCCTTGTATGCTTTCCCATTCATAATCAGTAACTGAAATCTGAGAATAAACAACATTTTCCCCAATCTTCTGCTGTTAGAGCTTCACTTTTTTTGCATTACTCGTTCACACACCCGTTGCAGTGTGCCCATGGTCATGTGATCAAAATTCAGACACTTGGGAACTGACTCACACTTATGACCGTTGTGTCTCAGTGTCATGTGATCACCTTTTGTATCCTTCTGACAAGCACAGTCAATGTGGAAGCCCGATTCACAACAGCCATGCTATTCACTAAACAACTGCAGTAATTCACTTAACAGCTGGGGCAAGAAAAGTCATAAAATTGAGCAAAACTCACTTAACAACTGCCCTGCTTAGCAGTGAAAATTTAGGACTCACTTATGGTCATAAGTAGAGGACTACTGTATTGGAAGGAAACTGGCACATGCAGAATGAGGATAGAGGGGGTACCACCTGGTGGCTAAAACCGATCAGCTTAAAAGATGGAATTCTGAAGATGAGGACAATGGCTGTGTCGAAATATTAAAAACATAAAAAAACATATATAAAACATGAGGCAAGTGATATTAAAAAATAATTAAAAGTTGGGGAAGGGAGTTCAGGTTACTAACCAGATGCACGATTGCCTGCTTCTCTGTGCGCTCTGTCATGCCTCTGTCGGAGCCTGAATCTGCTGAGGAAAATGAGCTGGAATGGGACCCTATGGTGATGTTGCGAGTTTGACACCCCTGGTCTAGCCTCTTCTTAAAAATCTCCAGTGATGGAGCACCCACCATTTCTGAAGGCAAGCTGTTCCACTGGTTAATTTCCTCACTGTTAGGAACTTTCTCCTTAATTCCAGGTTGCTTCTCTCCTTGACCAGCTTCCAACCATTGTTTCTTGTCCTGCCCTCTGGTGCTTTGGAGAATAATTTGACTCCCTCTGCCTTGTGGCAGCCTCTCAAATACTGGAATACTGCTATCATGTCACCCCTATTTCTGCAGCCGTTCTTCATATGTTTTAGTCTCCTGCAGCTGTTCTTCATATATTTTAGTCTCCAGGCCTTGGATCAGACATGTCAAACACAAGGCTCGTGGCCAGATCTGGCCTGCCATGTGATTGTCTGTTCAGAGGACCTGCTCTGGAAACAGTGAAGGCACCTTGGCCCAGCCCAGGCTGACCGGCCACTGATCTACAACCTGGTGCCAGCTATCAATGCCAGAACGTGCTCAGCCTTAGATCCAGAGGGCAGCCCTAGAACCAGTGACAGGCGCCACTACCCCGCCCTCTGGGCATGCACACAAGAGGCGGCGAGCAGGTGGAGTCCGGCGTCCCTGCTGGCTGTCTTGTCCGCAGGCTGACTTCACTCAGGACGCTGGCGCTGGTTGTATCCTGTGTGCACACCCAGGGGGTGGGACAGAGGAGGTGGGGCAGCTCCTCACTGATTCCAGGGCTGCCCCGTGGATCTAAGGCTGAACACGTTCTGGCTTTGATGGACGCAACCAGGTTGTAGATCAGTGCCACCCCCCCTCACACCAGCACTTCCACGGCCCACTTGATGACCTAGCCTCGCAGCCACAAAGTTTCCCTTTCACCAGGATTGGTCCCGCCCACGTGGGATAGTGACGGCCGGCGGCAGCATGGACACTGGCAGCGCTGGCAATCTCTCCCCCTCCCATCACCCCTTCCTGAGCACAGAAGAAGGAAAGAGATGAGAATGAGGAGGGAGGGAAGAACAGAGGAAAGGAGGGAGGGTGGGAGGTATTAAGGGAAAAAAGGGAGGAAGGAAGGAACAGAGGGAGAAAAGGAAGGTAGGAGGGAGGGAAGAAAAAAGGGAGGAAGGAAGGAATAGAGGGAGGGAGGGAGGGAGGGAGGGAGGGAGGGAAAGAGGAAAGACAAACAAAAAGAAGGAAAGAGGGGAGGGAAGAAGAAGGAAAGGAGAATGAAGAGGGAAGGAAAAAGAAGAAAGGGGGGGGGAAGGAAGATTATAATGAGGAAAGAAGGATCTGGCGGAAGTCCTGCTTTAGCACTTGGCCATGAGCAGCCCTACTGCCCTTTCACTATCCCCTTGTCCCCTCCTCCTGACCTCTCCTAGTGGTCTCCCATCCTATTGCTGAAGATGCTTTGGTTACAAAGCCAGGTCTCCTCACAGGGAAAGGGAGTGGGCCTCCCTCTAACCCATACATTTTGCCCTCCCTCACACACCATGAGCAACTTGGCCAAGGAGAGTGAACCAATCAGCAGCAGCCTTGAGGAGGTAAACGCAGCCAGGCGCCCCCTACTGACCACAGAAGCCCTTATAACCGTGATAGCAAACCTTTTAGACACCAAGTACCCAAACTGCAACCCAAAACCCACTTATTTATCGCCGGGTGCCAGGTGGGCATGGCCCACTGGGTGGGCATGGCTGTGGTGGTCATGGCAGATTGGATGGGTGTGACCAGAGTGGGCGTGGCCAGCTTGATGTTGCTCGTGGGGAGGGACGCCTGTGGGGACCGGGCAGGGTTGGGGGAGATCCAGAGGGGTCTCCGGCAGGTGGGGTAGTGGGCAGGAGGCTCGCAAGGCAAGGGGAGGCAGGGCGGGGGTGCCATTGTCACAGGGAAAGGCAAGTCAGGGGGTGGGGCGGCTGCTGCCTGACACCATCAGCCCCTGCACACAGAGGCCAGCGAATACATGGGTTCTAGGATGCATCCGGCCATGTGGGACCTCGGCGAGTTAGCGGGTGGCTCGTTGAAGAGGGACAGCCATCTCCGGAGCATGGCCTGCGTGCCCACAGAGAGGGCACTGAGTGCCGCCTCTGGCACACATGCCATAGGTTCCCCACCACCAACTTATAAGCAGAACACCAACTCTGACATTGCCTAAATGCCCCTGAAGATATTACCTAGCCTGGTAATGAAACGGCCAGAAACCAACCCACAAGCTTGGAAAACGAACCTCCACCCTCATCCTACGCTCAAGATACAGATATTTGCCACCATTGCAAAGGCAATCCTTCCATTTCCCCCCCCCCCCCATCACAATTGATGAAGGTTCTTGGATGAAAAGCAAAACGTTTTCTTCTTCTTCAAGGAAAAATAGTCCAGTTACCTTTTGAAGAAAAAAAGCACCTTGGAGACAACTATGATCCGGATGACTGAGAATCCCCACAGACATTCTTCCACCTAAACTTGAGTGTTACGTTAAATGTTTCGATTGGGCTGCTTCTGTCCCTTTCGATGCCTCATGCTCTTCTAGTCTAGTCGTTGGCAAAAATGAAGTTTGTGATTTTCCACCGGCCTCTTCTGTCTTGCAAAAGGAGCTTTACTTGTCTGAATCAGGCAGTTTGGGGACTCCGGGAGAAAGGGCTCCGTTTTGTCTTGATCTGTCCCAACTCTGCAAAGGGCAAGGCTGCCCGCCCCAAAGAAGGAAAAAGTTCTGGTTACTGTGCAAAACAGATCCCGGTCCTCTGCGATCGGTCTTTGAAGATCGAGTCTGTTCTTGATTTCTTTTTATCCCTTTCCGCCTCTGTCGTCGGAGAGCCACAAATGAGCCGGAGGAGCACCCGAAAGACTCTCCGCTTCGGCATCACCGAAGCGCTTCCCCGCTGCAAGATCCGTGGGTCTGTTTTTAGAAAAAGAGCGCGCATGCCTCAACCACCGGCACAGCTGCTCCGCCCCCTTGCACACTCACACAGCGCACACACAAACACACAAACGCCCCGTGGAGGCGTTCGGCCTGCAGCCGCTACTGCAAAACTGAAAGCATGGCTTTGTTGGAAGCGGCGGCTGCCCGGGGGCTCTTTCTGCTGCCCCGGATCGTGCTTTTCGGAGACTCCATTACTGAGGTATCGCCGGGCTGGGGGGGGGGGGAGGCGATGAGTGGGACATGGCCCCAAAAACAGACGCAGAGGCCCTGTGCCCCTTTTCCTCTCCCCCGCCCCGCCTCCGATTAATTCTCACACTTATTCTCCTTTTTCTTGTTATTTCTGTTCGATTTTCTGCCCCTCCCTCCACGCCTCCCAATCGCCTGCAGCCTCGACCTCTTCGGAGGTATTCAAGTCAGAATAGAGCTGGAAGGCATCCTGGAGGTCTTCTAGTCCAACCCCCCTGCTCAAGCAGGAGACTCTAGTCTAGTCTATACCATTTCAGACGAGTGGCTGTCCAGTCTCTTCTTAAGCAGAAATTCTTAGGTAGAAATTTTTTCTATCTAAGAATTTTTCTCATAGAAAAAAATTTCTACCCAAGATTTGTTTGTTTTTTTCCCTCTCCTTAGGTAGAAATTCATCAGGCGAAGTTTTCTTTTCAGCTGCCCAAAGAGGCTCGGAGGATTGCTTAACGTGGACTGGATTTTCTGTTACGCGGCTTTGTAAGGAGCAGCGTCTGAGCCGCGAGGGGAGCAGGGCTGCGAGTTGGAACTGCTGGTCTAATGTGATCACAGCTGGTTGCCAGGCTTGGAGCCAAGTTAAAAATATCTGGGAAAGAGGAGAGGATGGTTTTCAGCTGACTTAAAATTTAAGGAGGTTGGGAATGGGCTTCCCCTCTCTACCTTACTGTAATTGAAAATACAGTCAGGGGTGTCGGGAATTTGGCTGAAATAGCTGGGAAAGTCAAAATGACCACACATGTGGCCTGCCTTTCAAGATTGTTGTGCTTAATCTGAAATCTCAAGACTGGATTATTATTTTTTACCCATCTTAAAAATAGTTCTTGGAATGTGGGAAAAGGTGAAGGAATATCTCTTCCTTCAGGATTCCAGCTGGGACTTTCAGCCCATCCTGTGAGTCTGTTTTGCCCTTAAATTGAAGTTGCTCATAAGGGCTTATCTACCCCCACCACTATTTCATAATGGTCTGTGAGAATAGCACCGTTGACATATGCACACATAAGTAACTTTATTTACACATGGCTTTTTCATTCAGTCAAAATATTTGTAGGTAGTCAAGATTGTGGAAAACCTGAATATACACGGATATTTTTTAACCTTATTTTGGCTATATGTTATTTCCAATGGTCTAAATAAAAGTACCTGGTACTGAAGGATTCCCAACCAACTCTTTTGATCAGATAAAATAGACTGTGTGTTTTATACAGGTAGTCCTTGATTGTAACCACAATTGGGATCAGAATTTCATTGTAATTCAGTGTGGTCATAAAGTGAGTCTTCATGTAACTAGACCTGATTTTTCAACCACTTTTTGCACAGTCATTAAGCAAATTATTGCAGTTGCTAAATAAAACATGGTCATTAAGCAATCCATCTTCAGTTGCTGTTCTTTGTAAGAAACAGGCTGGGAAAGTCACAAATTGTGATCACATGACTGTAGAGGTGGTGCGATGGCCATAAGTGCAAGGACAGGTTGTAAATCACTTTTTCCAAGACTGTTGTCATTTTAAATTGTCCTTAAATAAACAGTCGTAAATGCAGGATTACTTATACAGTGCAAGGCTAGAATATTACGTACATGCACACCCAGCTGTGTTTCAAATGAAGTTGAGGAATTGATCCACTGGTCAAATTCCACACCACCACCCCAATAATATTTCTTGCATGTGTACTTTGGAAAAGAAGCGGCCAAACTTCCTGCTCAAGTGGAGGATGATGGTGATCACTTCCAGCATTCCTGTGAACCCAGGAAGCAGTTCCCTGAATAAATATGGGGCTTTGTAGTCCTAGATTCTGGATTGGGAAACCTGGCAGTGCATTATGGCTGGTAGATGGTGGTTTTTCAGTTTTATTTCAAGGTGTATCAGTGAATGCTCTATTCTGCTTTGCAGGTATTTGTCACTCTTTAAAGTAAATAATCCATAAAGTTGTCTGATGTACATTGGCTTTTACTAACAGAAATTACTCAGGGCTACCAGGTATGGGCTGTCAAATGCTGAACAATCCCTTTGTGGCATTTTCCTGTGCCTCTTTACTGCCATCTACTGCAGAGATTGGGACTTTGCAATTCAGAACTGGTAGCCCTAAATTTGGTACTGTATTTCAGAGGTCCCCAACCTGTGACCATGAGGGGATTATAATTAGGCTGCGAAAATAACCGGCAAGTGCACACACCCAACCTCACTTGCGCAAGCAGTGGGCGAGCATATGTGCATGCTCCATTTGCGTGAGCAACAGGTAGGCATGCGCACTGCTCGCGCAAATGGAGATGCGTGCATGCCATTGCTGGCCACTTGCATGGAACCATTCCCTCTCCTCCCTCCACTGGTCTGCAAAGCCGGAACTTTGCTGCACTTGATTGCAGTGGGTCACTGTGTATGAGGCTTAAAATACACAGTAATATTGAAGACACTGTGCTGAACTGTAAGGATTAGTACATTGATTGGGATCTCTGCATTTATATAAATTGTTCATTGTCTTTCTTCTAGTTTTCCTTCCAAGATAAGGGATGGGGCGCATCACTTGCTAATAGATTAGTTAGGTAAGAAATGCTAGCGTTTTATTTACTAATTTTACCTCCCATGTTGTCAGTTCTTTTGTCACATTGAGAGGAAACATACCGCCAGAATATTAAAATGATATTTCTCTCTCTGCATTCTTGATGGTGCACTCTTGATGGTGTTCTCATCTGACACATAGGAAATCGTAAGAGATCATCAAGCAACCAGTGAAATTAATATTTCTGTGACTAAACAGTAGACTCCTTGCTTTTTTCTGCTGTTGTAATAATAATGATAAAGTTGGAAGGGACCTTGGAGGTCATCTGGTCCAACCCCCTGCTCAGGCAGGAAACCCTATACCATTTCAGACAAATGGCCGTCCAGTCTCTTCTTAAAAACTTCCAGTGTTGGAGAATTCACTGCTTCTGGAGGCAGGTTGTTCCACCGGTTAATTGTTCTGTCAGGAGGTTTCTCCTTGTTCTAGGTTGCTTCTCTCCTTGATTAGTTTCCATCCGTTGCTTCTTGTTCTGCCTTCAGGTGCTTTGGAGAATAGTTTGACTCCCTCTTCTTTGTGGCAGCCCGAGATATTGGAACACTGCTATCATGTCCCCCCCTTGTCCTTCTCTTCATTAAATTAGACATACCCAATTCCAGCAGCCGTTCCTTATGGCATCCCACTTTGTTGTTGATGAGTTGCCAGCCCCACCAAGTAGATCAGACCAGGAAATCAACTGCATGGCAATGCAAAATCAACTTTTAATGATATTGCTAGAATAACAGAATTGTGCAGATGTGGTTGTGCTACACCTTCTCTACCTTCTTAGTTCAATGAATTAGGGAGGGGTCTGCCTAAGCCACTTCTGAATGGGATCTCATTCCTCTGAGCTTAAACAGTGTTCCTTCCCCTTTTGCCTAGGCAACAGTTTGTGCCCTCAAGATCATCTTCCCTGTAGTCTACAGTTGTGTTCTCCCACCAATTTTTAAACAATTTCTAAAAGTTCTGCTTGACCTCTTATCGTAATTCAGGCTCTTTTGAATATGTAATGATGCATAATCCCGGGAAATTGATTGAAAACATGAATGTCATGATTGTTCTGTATTGTAAATAAGGTTTGACAAATAAAGTGTGTATGAATTCTGGATAGAAAGATACAAAATGCTTCTTTTCAACATGGAATATAGTGCATGATGGAGAGGAGAGGAAGAGAAGGTCAGATTCACGCTAAGGGCTGAACCAATTTGACTGGTCGTATGAATCAGTGAATTCTTTGGGACTAAAATTCTGAATAACCTACATGGAATACACTACTTAATAATTCCCTGGCCAATCTTTACCATTTTAAGATGTAGATTTACTACATAATGAGACACACAGAGAGACACTCATTTTATGTATACACTTATTTTAGAAAATGTGATGTTTTGAATCGTGGACTCTCTGGCTACAACACCAGATGGGCTAAAATTGTTCTTCCAAGATTAATCAACAAAGACCATAATGCTGGAAACACCCTGGCAGTAACTATCTTCTTTGGAGCAAATGACAGTGCTTTAAAGGGTATGTTATATTTTGATTCTAGATCCTACTCTTCTAATGTGATGTTTTGTAGGCTGGAGTTGAAAAGTGTGTTGCTTCAATTATTTTAAAGCCTTCACCCATTGTTGCAGATATGTTTAATCTGTACAGCCAACCACTTGTTGGTTTATGGCAAAATGCATGTTAGTGCATTAGAATGTTGAGGCAATGGGGGAAGACAGTGGCCTGCTTGAATTTCAACAAAGGTTCTTAGAATGTGTATTACTGAGATAATGTTTCATTGTTCCCCAGGCTGCTGAATCAGCATTCTTGGTGTCCAAGGCTGTCTGGCTGAGCCAGCAGTTGACTATATTTTCCTTCAAAAAGTCCATGCTGGGAGGGGTGAGCATCTTTCAAGGAAAGAGGAACAACTGGGTGCCTTTTTTAATTGATTTATAGCTGAATTACCTCTTTATTTGTTTAGTGAAAACATATTTAGATTGGGGCTTTTGGGTTGCTCACCAACACCCACTAGTTTTACTTAAACTCCTCTGTCCTACCTTTTCCCAGCTTGAGAAAAAGAAGCACAGCATGGGCAGAGCACACAGCTGTTGAACCCAGAAAATTAATTCCTGTGTCTCCTTAAACAGATGAGAACCCCAGACAGCATGTTCCACTGGAGGAGTATGCTGACAATTTGAAAAGTATGATATGCTACCTCAACTCTGTGGACATTTCCAAACAGGACATTATATTAGTGACTCCACCACCCCTTCACGAACCTAGTTGGGAAAGAGAGTGTGTTGCTAAAGGTGAGGCATTTTCTTATTCCTATTTGAATAGTATTGGCAAATTTCCCTGCACGATTTATTCCATGTTCTACACAGTTAAGTTATACCACGAATAGAATGTTTGGCCTAGCCTTTTCCCATCAGCTCTGCCAAATTTGTCCTACTAGCCTCTTTTTTTGCAAAATAAAATGACTGTTGGTATGTTTTATTTATTCCCATCTTAAAATTAGAATCAAAGCATACAACTGTATGGAAATAGGTCTTTTTTTAAAAAAAAGAAAACGCAGTAGCTCAAAATCATCTGCAGTAAAGCTATAAGGCCAGAATTAGCTTCTAAACTTTAATGCGTGTGATATTGTGGTCAGCAGAAGGATTCTCTGTACCCAACAGTGGTTCTGCACTATACATATACTTACACTCAGTCTTGTCTTGTTCTGATCGCTCTTGCAAGGAAAAAGAAAAATGAGTACCAGATCTAATTTGGTTAGCAAACTGTTTTCAGTTGCAGTGATGAAAAAAAAATAACTTTATGGCCAATCCTCACATTTATGACCTTCACAAATCTAGAAAGCAAGGGAATGCTGAAGCAACTTCGTAGTCCCACTTAGCAACCACTTAGCTTGACAACCAAGTTGCCCATTCCAATTGCAGTTTTTAAACAAGGACTACCTGTATAGTGTTAAAGCCTATAGGGCAGTGAGTTGCATCATCTGGATCCATTTGTGATTCATGTTTGTTACTCAAAAAGCAAAACCTGAACTAAGCTTTTATGTTTGATGTATTTTTTTCCCCTAATTCTCAACAGGTGACAAATTAAATCGTCTAAATTCTGTCACTGGGAGATACGCAAAGGTTTGTGTTAAAGTAGCTGAAGAATGTGGCACTGATGTCATTGACCTGTGGACACTTATGCAAAAAGGAGACCCGGTATGATTTCTGAGATTGTCATTGCGGAGTGTGTGCAGCAAAGTGAAGCTAATTTCCTTACTGGGTGCAAAGTCTCTCTTAGAAGCTCATCCTGTTCCCTTTTGCAGACTGGCCGTTTAGTTGAACAGTGATTAATTCAGGTAGTCCTCGGCTTCCAAAAGTTCACTGAGTGACTGTTCAAAGTTACAACTGCATTAAAAGAATGACTTATGACCGTTTTCCACACTCATGACCATTGTAGCATCCCCACAGTTACGTGATCAAAATTCAGATGCTTGGCAACCGACTCATATTTAGGACAGTTGCAGAGTCCCGGGGTCATGTGATCGCCTTTTGCAACCTGACAAGCAAAGTCAATAGAGAAAACTGGATTCACTTAATTGTGTTGAACAACTGCAGTGATTTATTTAAAAACTGTGGCAAGAAAGGTTGTAAAATGGGGCAAAACCCATTTAACAAACGTCTTAAGAACAGAAACTTTGGGTTCAGTTGTGGTCATAGGTTGAAGACTGCCTATATTTTCTGACTTAAGTTTTCTTTCTGTAAAGTCATCTGAACAATTTACAACATTTTCTATTTTATGAAATCTCTGGTTTTAGGACTTCTCCTGTTACCTGGCAGATGGAATCCATTTATCAGAAAAAGGAAATATTTTTCTAGCAAACCAGCTTTGGACACTCCTAGAAAAGAAATTGTCAACCCTTCCTCAGTTGCTTCCCTGCTGGCGTGATGTAGATCTTCTCCACCCTGAAGCTAGTCTCCTGGACATCCCCACTGCTAGGAAGTAATAAAAAGAATAACATCCATAAGTTTTGTAGATAGAAAATAAAATTTCCTTTTTTTCACAATCAGTGATACCAATTCTTAAAGAGTCTTCTGATATGAACTTGCATTCCCAATTATTAGGCCTCTATAAATATTCATGCATAATTGTTGCAGTTTTCTAATTATGCAGATAGTTACTGCCATAGGTAGGGCAATTACCTGTTAAAAATTGTATGCAGAAGAACATTGTCAAGACAAGCAAGAAACAGAAAACAAGCCTTGATGGATCAGACAGTCCCACATTGCTACATAACTTTATACTTCAGGGCTGGGTGTCTAACTTGGAGTGGTTGGAAGGATCATCAAGTTTTTGATAGCGTGTTGGGGGCTGCACTCCAAAAGACTTTGGCTTAAGGCAGGGGTCCCCAACCCCCAGTCAGTGGATCAGTTCCGGGCCACAGCATGCCAGCGACTGGTCCACACAAAAAAGCAAAGCTCCATCCATGGGGATGCAGGTAGCACACAAAACCACACTCGTTCCGGTCCATGGAAAAACTATGTCAATGCTGCTATAACATTGGATGTTCTTGCTTTGACAACAGATGGGGATGCAGCTTTTTTCTGTCTTATACTGTACTCTTAGATCAGTGTTTCCCAAACTTGACAATTTTAAGGCATGTGGACTTCAACTCCCAGAATTCCACAGCCAGCAATGCTGGCTGTGGAATTCTGGGAGTTGAAGTCCACATGCCTTAAAATTGTCAAGTTTGGGAAACACTGTCTTAGATGATACTGGGGTAGGGAGAGGAATGTGATGGGAGTTAGTTAGACATACAATATTGTAACCAGCTGGTAAAGCATCCAGCATTTCAAACTAATTGGAGAAATGTGATTTATGACTGTTAGTTGTAGGAGGGAATTGTGCTTCGATCTATGTGCTGAAGGGAGGGGAAGTCAGATTTTGGCTTCAACTATGTGCCTGCTGAACCTATGCTGCTCGATTAAAGATTCTTTAAAGTAAACAATGCCTCAAAGTTCTTAAAAGAGTTTCATCTTTTGGAACCATGATCTCTCTCTCCACGGAGCCGGTCCCTGGTGCCCAAAAGGTTGGGGACCTCTGGCTTAAGGGTTAAGACTATTTCAGGAGGGATCTTAAAGGGAGAATGCTGGCCATACCCTCTGGATTTTCCCAAAATGCAAAAGGGGGGGGGGGAAGGCTACATTTGATATCCTCAACCCTAGAATTGACATTCAGGGATTGACATTCACTTTTAGATGACTTCACTCTTGCCCTAAGAAATCTTTCTCCTCTGGCAATAGAAAATTGGTTAAATTACCCACATACAGTCAGCGGTCAAGTAGTTTATTTAGACAGGTTGGCAAATGTTAATGATTTCTCTAATGGATGTTAGCAGTCAGGATTCTGTATTGTAGATAATTGAGTCATGTGGCACAGGGATTAAAATACAGGTTAAAAGAATGAGGGGCAATAGTTAATGCAAACAATATAGATAATAATCGTAATTCAAGACTCTGTATAATTCTGAATCAAGCTTGACCAGATCTTGAGAATGTGGGTGGTGATACATGCTTCTGAGACTATTAACAATTTGAAAACAGTAAAGATTGTCTTCAGGCACTTTAGAGAAAGTAATGAAGACGTCCTGCTAAGAGAAGTTTTTTTTGGGGGGAGGAAATCAAATGTTTTAGAGATGCAATATTCTGATTGCAGAGGGAACTAGGGACACAATAGAGGGCAAGAGCTGTTCAGATAGTGATAAACACACTGAGCCAAAATGTCTAGAGGGCCAAAAAACAATGTTTTGGGAAAAAGCTATGTAAGCAACCTAAGCTGATACTATATAGCATTGATTTGGTAAACAAGAATCAAATTTATAATGATACAAGCAAAAAGTCTTTTGGCTGTTAAGTCTTCGCTGATATGGGTGCTTAGTCTAAAAAAATTGCAATTTCAATCAGCAGCTAGCAATTGCTAGTTGGAAGTGAGCAGGCAGCTCTTTGGAAATGCATCAGAGCTGCCAAAAGAAGGCAGTTTAAATGCAAGGGCCCAAACCAGAATGCAGCAAAATGTGCTTTCTGCGATTTCCTATTATCCACTTCTGCTTCAAGTGTGACATGGCTGTTTCAAGCTTCCTCCTTAGATATTCTACAGGGCAGTAATTACCTTACTGATGACTTCCATTGTCTGATTTCTATGGTACTTACCTTGCTAAAATAATCTGATTCCTTTTTATCCAATGTTTAGCAGTTGACAATACCATATTAAGATGAGCTGAACAGTTTAAGAACAAGCATTCATGTTCTACTTTGACTGTTGCCATTGTGCCAATTATCAGTTACAGCCATGTCTTCCATATACAATTGAAAATATAAGGGCAAAACAAATATTTTAGACTACTCATCAGTCTACAAGCATCCCGCAAAGCTGTTTCCAGAATGCAAGATGATAGATTAGACAACTGCAGGATTTAATTGCCTTGGTTATTATGACACACATCGAAGTACAATGTTTAACAGATGATTGAAGCTTTTAAATTATCACAGAAAAAAGTGGACTTTCATATTCACAATGAATGCCAAGATGCGTCTTTTGAGAAACGTTTATAAATCACCCTTGATACAAGTTTAACTTGTGACCCCATGGATACAAGCATGCAAGCAGCTTTGCAATGATATGGAAAGTGATTTCTTCTTGCTAGTATGTTTTTGGAATGTCTAATCTAGCCTACAGTTAAGGGTTTCTTGCTAAATCTGCCCTTCAGGTACTAACCAGGCCTGATCTTAGCTTTAGGAGCCCAGCCAGGATTGACTATTATAATATATTGTTGTTGTTGTTACTACTAATACTACTAATAATAATAGAGTTGGAAGGGACCTTGGAGGTCTTTTACTCCAACCCTCTGCTCAGGCAGGAAACCCTATACCAGTGGTTCTCAACCTGTGGGTCGGGACCCCATTTGGGGTCGAACGACCATTTCACGTGGGTCGCCAAACAATTCAGTCCGCCATTTTTCCCCCTTTTCCTTAGCTATGCTACTCCCTTTTATTCTTTTGGCTTTTGAAAGCCAATAGAATAGACTCTCTTGAATAGAGTCTAATTCTATTGGCTTTCAAAAGCCAATAGGAATTGTCCAGGCTGTCTCTGCCCTGCTGAGCCCGCCAAAAGCCCCAGTCTGCAAACAGTGCTGCACCAGTTGAGTAATCCTCGACTTACGACCGGTTGAGTAGTCCTCGACTTATGACCGGTTGGGGGGTCGGGGCATTAAAAAGGTTGAGAACCACTGCCCTATACCATTTCAGACAAATGGCTGTCCAGTCTCTTCTTAAAAACTTCCAGTGTTGGAGCATTCACCACTTCTGGAGGCAGGTTGTTCCACTGATTAATTGTTCTAACTGTCAGGAAGTTTCTCCTTAGTTCTAGGTTGCTTCTTGTCTTGCCTTCAGGTGCTTTGGAGAATAGCTTGACTCCCTCTTCTTTGGGGCAGCCCCTGAGATATTGGAACACTGCTCTCATGTCATCTCTAGTCCTTCTCTTCGTTAAACTCCGGGACCTAAAAAGTCTGAAACTTCAATTAACACCAACTAGTTTTAATATTTCAATATATTTTAGAAAATCATTTTATTACATGGCAATGGGAACTCTTACTCTTCATAGAAAGGTTATTTTACAGCTGGGTGTGAAATCTAAAAATTAACAGAATATCGGTAAAAATACCTTAGAGACACAAATTCAAGTAGTGCAACAAATATCCATGAAAAATGTACAGGTGTATTAGTCCCCTTTAGATGCTACAGAATACAAATTTTTCATCATTTTTTTTTGACATTTGGACCAGTTCCCAAGCTGTTGTATTTTATATAAAGCATAACTTAGGACATGATTAGATGAGCAATCAGAAATAATGCTACCCTTTTAATTGTGACCCAACTGCTTCTATATGCACTGCTTCCACTCCTGAGACCAGATCCCTAAAAGTAGAGAGCTGTGCTGTTTCTGCTTTTGCTCTCTCAGCAAAAGGCATGGAGAAAGCCACAAAGGCAGCAATTGGCACTTGACGGAGATCAGGACTGAGATAAGCCAGGCTAGTGGCAGAACAAGATGCTCTTTTTTTCCTCATTGCATCCACATTTGTTGTTTCCTCACAGAAGCAGATCAGCCATAAAAATGCAACATGAAATACGCTACAGCAGATGCCCTGGATACCATACACTGACATGGTTTGAAATACAGTTTTATGAAGTCTCTTTTCTAGACTTATATTCCTTCCTCGCAAAGTGAAAGAAGTGAAATGATAATTACACATTTAAGCTATACGTTTTGGATCAGAAATTAACGTTCAGCACTCTATGTGCATATAAATCTGAAAAATCAATGAAAACATTGCTTCTATCTCGATTGGATTTTATCTTCCTGTTGGGTTCTGATCGGAACTGCTTAATTAAAGCCACACTATTATTTTATTTTGAAAACATTCTCGGATTCCCAGATTTGCATTGAAGTAATTAGCTGCTATCATATTCCCTTCCTATTTAGCTGAAATCTGTGCCTTTCCTAAATATCAATTAAATTGAAATGTTCCTTTCATCTTCATTTTAAAAAATACTGTTCAGTGGCATTCCTAACTTCTCTAGTAAAAGAAGACTTCATTTATTTGGAAGAATTGTATTCTGGAGGGAAAAAAGAAATCTCTTTTAGCAGTGCTTGTTTAATACCAAGAAGGCACATTATAAAAATACTAAGATACATAAATCCTGGGTCAGAGAGATTATGGCTTGATTCTATCAACTGAAGGGTATGTTCAATTTGAGAATACAGAAAAGAGTCAGCAAGACTCAATATATCTGACCTCACTTTTTATGTTTTTAAGTAACACTCATTCATACTGACATCAGGAAGATCATACATTTGGCCAGCATCTGCAGTTGGTCACTTCCTTGCTTTTTTCTCAGTATACATACCTATGCATATGCATGTACAAATGCATACACACAGACACACACAAACACACGGAGGCAGAGAATATAATGAAATGGCTTTAGATCAACTAGCTGAACCTGATGTTGT